CAACAAAATGAAATTAAACATGTGGAAAGACAAATGGTGGTGGAAGTAATGATGATGCTGTAGTGGTATTGGAAGGACCCTGAGTTGTCAGTTACCATGTACTTAGACACTGCCATTGGGTAGACCTAATGAGAGTGCGGTCTTTTGACTTTTGACACAATTACACAGTCCTAATAGGTAATTCAAGTTCTAATTCTGGTTTTACGTAAAATCCCCAGACGATAGTGTTGTTACTTGAACATAAAATAATGTTGAACACTAACCTTTTGGTTGTCTGCGTTCACAACAAGGGTTAGCCAAACCTGCTTCTCTCTCTGGATCGTGATCCTTTCCTCAGCGATGGGGCCCGATGTGTTGGAATCTCATACACAACGCAGAAATAGACAGAGGCTCTGACAAGCCATTACCCCTTTTCTCCTTCCGAAACCTCAGCCAAACAATATAATAGGCTAGGCCACTGCCACTGACCAACAGGCCAGATTGCCAATTACAGGGTCCCCACCAGGGCGGGAAATCGGGAAAAGAAAAAGTCGGGAATTTTGGATGGGTCGGAAGGTCGGGAATTTTGGGATGGGTCGGTAAGTCGGGAAAGGATAGGGCCTGTGTAATGTGTAGCTAGATCTAGATCTACTTTCACTTTCGTTACCGCCCAGAAATTTTCCGGTAATAGTCTGATAGATGACACAACATTTGTAACATGCAGGTTATGCATTATGAACGCTGTGTCGCCTTGAAAATGAATCAATATTAAAAATTGCCCTCTGCTGTTGCTTGTGGAAAAAAAAAAAGAAAAAGAACTTATACAAGCGTCTTGACAGGTTCGCCCTCGTGACCAGTCAATGAACCTGTGAGTACCGGCGGTCTGCGCGCTGTGAAGTATAGGACTCCTTTATAAGATACACTCGTGGAAGGGGATGGGGGGGGGGGGAAGCTGAAGGCAACGCTAGAGGACAAAAACTGAACTTGGAAGCAAATTTTTAGCATTTTGATAACTACTTTAGAGCTCTCTGCAAAGCGCGCGTTGGTGCAGGCCTTGTGTGGAATCGGGATCCGTCATGCTTTGTTATTGAACAAAAGTATTCGCGTTTCATTGGATGGGGTGATTGTAATTTTCTCTATATTTTATCTTTCTGTTCAAGATTGGCAGATTTTCAGTGTCACTGCATCTTGCCCTCCCTCAGTTCTTACACCTCTCACACTAAATAGGTGTACTTGAGCCATTCTAGTTATTACTAATATTACTCTACTTTGAGTTTGAGCAATAGTTTTCGTCTTGACGTTTATTATATGAATCATGACACCCAGACTGGTTATTGACAGTCGATATTCTAGGTATAGGTCTTTTCTCAGGCTCAAAACAGGATTCACTTTTTATATAGGGCCTATAGTTTGTTATGTTGGCTAATATGATGAAGGGGAAATATAAATATAAGTAAGAACAGACTGAAATACCAAAGTCTCTCAAGATCCTAGTGCCACACTGACATGTTGTTGACTGGATATAATGTACCTACATGTGTGTATTCACAAACATATACATGTTTTGTATATTAGATATAAATGGAGCACACGCTTTCATTGTTATGTAACATGTTCCTGGAAAATGGATGAGGCCCCTCCCTTGGAAAATTGAGAAGCTGGGTTGGCAGTCACCCAGTATTATAGTCATCTATTGTTTGAAGACTATACTACAAAATGTACATTTGCATTCATTTATAGACATTTTGACTTTTTATCATTGATAGATTGGCTTTTTTGGGGATCTTTCTTGACGCGCAGCAACCTGATTTTTCCTTCGAATTGGGGTCTTGAAAAAAATTTGGGGGTCTTGAAAAAATTTTCCAGGATTTGGTGGGGACCCTGCAATTAAACAACCAAATAGATCACATATATATACCATGTGACCTCCTTACCCCCACATAACTCACTTAGAAGCTGAGTCCGAATAAATAAAACATTTTTTTCGGACCCGAGTCCGAATAGATAAAAATTACATTCGGACTCCAGTCCGAATAGAGCTGGCCTTATTTTAATAGCAAAAATCCACTCCGTTACAAACTTTTTAAAATGTAAATCTGAGTTTCAAGACATTGATTGAACCCACTGAACGTGGATAGGAATTGACTTGATCGGCACGGAACAAGAAATAAATACTACTACTGTATACACATTCAAAGTCTCGACCTGCAATCGCCATGTATAAAAATATGAAACTTGTGTGCTGTCGATTGATACCTTACCAATGACGCTGTCCCATGCAGATATCAAGTGTAGAACCAGATACTGTATTACACTACACTAAACTCACACCCTCACACACATTGAGCAGATTTAGCTTGCAACAATTTCTGATCGTATTCAAAACTTCCTCTCTTCATTGCTCTCCTCTGTTCTCTGAACACTGAATTTCTATGTGGGGTACTGTGTCATACTAATTATAGAAATTTACAGTCTAGCTGGGGCAAAGGTGAAAAAGGGAGGGGGTGTATTGTTTTAGGCTCTGACTCTGACCACCGAACGAGGCGCTTCTTTCTCCTTGTTAAAGTCCCCTCTATTTCAAATGGGCGATTCACGTCATAGCCCTTGGCCAGGTTAGGTACCTCTGGGAAGTAGACGATGAATAGAACAAACAGAACCATGGCTGGCTTAAAATTAATCAGAAAAATGCTGAAAATAGGTGTACCGGCAGCAATAAGAGGCAGGTTGAATGATAACCATGACTGATAAAATTATGTAAAATATGTGCCACAGACATGTCCTTTTGAACTTTTCAGCTTTTAGGGCAAAAGCTGAATTCACTTGGAAGGCTTTCAGACCACTGAGCGGGCCTCACGCACAGACGTTCCACATCGTGACTCGTTCAATTTACTTAAAAGTTACGAGCCGGCGTGATAAATAAAGATGAAGGAATGAGTCTCTGTAGTGCGACAACACTTCAGTGAACCCCTGTTGTCTTTCACACTGCTTTCAAATTGACTGGGTGCTTTTTGAATATTAATTAGTGTTTATTTACTTAAAACAATAAAAATTACTGTCGGCAATCACGCTGTTGTCTAATGTCCTGCCGAAAAAAAGTGACCGGCGCCACCGGTCTTGCCCAGTGAAAATACCGCCCCTGTATATAGATCTAGGTGGGACTTCAAGATCGCCTTTGTTTCTCAGCAAAAATGGATTATTTATGTACCAAAAGCAACTGGAATTTATCTGTCAAATGAATTCTGACAGCACAGAATTGTGCAGCATAATTGATAGTTCAAATGAAAAAGTTTGATAATTTATCGCCAATCCTGAAAGGTTTTCACGGCTGCCTGGTCAAAAGAATAGAGTACAAAGTTTGTGTAATCTGCTACAAATGTATCAATCATTTTTTTTCAATGACAGCTCCAACTGCCAGTTCGCCTGATTTTGTAGAAAAAAAAATGGTGTCTCATTTCTATGGGCCACACTTTTTGCTAGTATTTTATGCAGCTTGTGATTCTAAACAAAATTACAGATTGTATGCTGCTAATTGTTTTTTAAAAATTTTGTTTATTTACTGTGTCTCTAGTGCTACTTCTCAGCTTATAATTAATTGGTACTTTTATTTTAAAAGCAGTATGGAAAAAGAAGTTTAGACATGGTGAGGTCACAATCCCTACAGAATTTTGTCATTTTGGGGGTAAAATTCAACTTAAATTTTTGCGCAGAATTTTTAAATTTTCCATGCAGAAAGCTACAATGACAGAATATATATGGCCACCAGAACTGTTGCAAATCAATTATTTTCAAGAAAATTTCATACCTAAATTTGTATTTATCATCAAATCATACGGAAAAACAGGGGCATGCCCTTCTGAAATCCCCAGTTTGGTCCAGAGACTAAAAATTACTACCCAGTTAGGCTTATTTTTTAAATAATATAATTTGAATAAAAACCATGGATAAAAAATTTAACAAACTGTTTATTTGCAACATGTATTAAGTCAATATTCGTGTGAATCGGAACAAGAAAATGGCTATTACCTGAGCATGAGGTGGACTATGGTAGTGAAAGTAAAATAATACCGGATTTTCATTCTGAAATGTGTAATTGTGTGTATGATGTACGTTCAAGATGCTGCTCAGCAAAATATCTGCTCTTCTTTTATTAAGAGTGATCGCTATTGTGGTTAGTTTGATACAACATAAAAATTTAAGGACTTTTTGACCTTGCCTGAAGTCTTTGTTTCTTTGTATTTGGACCCTGAAGAAGCAGTTTTCCTTCAAGCAGTTTTCCTCCTTTTAAGTTTATGTTCATAACATAATGACCATCAATGATTTATAAGTATATAAGTGTAAGGCCAAATATTTTAATGATTCGACTTCATTTTGAGTCTGAGGTCCATTTATGGTAGGCCTACATAGTTTTGATCTCCATTTACAGCTGCATAAATGTTATGACAGATTTGATGAATATTGTGGTTGTTTATACCACAATAGATATGAGCAGTTAATATCTCCTCTTATCTATCTCCTCTATGCAGGTGGTTTTGTTATGTGTGTGTGAACCTGTCATTGTAAAAAATCATTACTCATTTCATCTTTCAGTGCGCTAATGTTTCCTCACTCTCATCCATGTCCTCTGTCCAGGTGGTTGGTTATGTGCGTGGCAGTAGTAGAAGTGAACAACACAATAATATCTCCTCCCGTCTATCTCCTCCGTCCAGGTGGTTTGTTATAAATAGTTATGTTCCAGTATATGTGACATTATGTTTCATTTTTGAGAAAATGACTTGTTTCATCTATGTCCGCTTTCCTGGTGGTTTTTTAAATTATAAATGAAAGTGTGTTCCAGTAGATGTGAGCAAATAACAACTTGTCTCATCTTTGAGCGATCTATCTCCTCTCTACTCATCTATATATTTCTCTGTCCAGGTGGTTTGTTGTAAAAATGTGTTTCAGTAGATGTGTCCAACAAGCAAAAACCTGTCTCGTCTATCATGAGCCAATAATGTCTCCTCTTATCTTTCTCCTCTGTCCAGGTGGTTGGCTACCAGTACAATGAGGTGAACCCCCAGCATTATTCCCGGCACTATGAGACAATCTACAGCCTGCTGGACAGCCACAGTGCAGAGTACCGGAGCACATTCTGTGAGACGCTCACTCACAAACTGCTTAGCCTACAGCAACGACACAGTGGGGAGGAAGACACATCTGACGACCAGATGGACACCAAATGACGGCTGCTTTGACTTAGGATATTATCTGATTAGGACACTGCTACATGCACATACATTTTCTTACCTTTCCCTGCACTGAGGATATGAGACAAAGATGAATGTGCCTGAATGTATAATATACACTGATTATATTGTGTACATAATGGATTCTGTATGCCATAACGTTGTACCTTAAGTGCACATCAGAGCTGTGTTATTTTCAAGTTTCATTATTGTAAAGAATTGTTTCCAGGAGATGTTTTGCTGTATAAAGCTGTGGGTGTGTACATGATACGTGATGGTCGCGAAAGTACCGCAGGATTATTTTTTTTTTAACTTTATTTTTTGGTTGCTGCTTATTTCCTGCAGTGAAGAAAGTAGTTTAGTTGTTCAGAAAGGGAGGGAGATTGAATTGTGAATGATCAAATGTTAGTAAACGAATCTAGTTTACTTTGGGAAATTCTTGAAATGAATTGGAGATAGTTTCAAAGGTGATGGGGAAAAATACAACCAAAAGATTTCTTAAGTGTAAGCATTCAGTATTCTGTGCACATTCCATTTTTGTGTATCTTTGGAACTTTGGGGTGGGGATTGGGGCAACTTGTGGGGGGTGACTGTGAGCTGTTGTTGACAATCCTTTGAGATAATGAGATATATAATATATATTAAACTCCTTGATCATTTAGGATATGTGCATAGCAATTTTTTCTTTGCGAGTGGCCTTTAGTGTGTGGAAGAGTATGTTGTAGGTCGTCTTTGGCAGAGAAGGGTGGCAGCTCGAACATGTTTGCTGAGTGTTCTGTGGGATGCAGATAACTTTGGGTTCAAATTTTTTTTACTGGAACTTTGCTGTGCTTGAATATTCATAATTTTTTTTCTTGAAATAGTTTTAGTTTTTAACCCTTTGGTGGTCTTACTTTGAGAAGGGGGACTAAATATTGTCTTTCTGTTTGAGTGGAGTTGTCTGGCAAGGTTTATCAACCAATTGTTTTGCTTTTGTTGTTGCAACTCTTTGTTTTTGTTTGTGATTATGTTACCTTTGACTCCTGTCAAATTTCGACCTCTATGCAGTGCCATGTTATGTGGACTTTGCTTTTTGTGAAAGACAATCCTGAGCCAGTCTTTTCTAGGATTGGGTGTAGGTGTGTAGCTTTATATTTCTAGGGTGAGTATGGGCATGTATCTCTATCTTTTTTTCTAGGGTTGAATCCGGGAGTTTGTCTCTATGATATTTTTAGAGTTGTGTCTGGACATGTATCTGTATGGTATTATTTCTAGAGTTAAGTCTGGATGTATATCTCTATGATATTTCTAGGGTTGAGTCTGGGCTTTCGTCTATGTTTATTCCTGTACTCGCCTGGTTGCTTAGAAATGACTCCTGATGAGCTTCTAATATATGTTGTGTTTGGGGATCTGTCTGTTTTTAAAAATATTTTTTATTACTTTTAGTGAATTCTGGCTGCTTTGGTTGCCTACTTGAAAACTTTCTGTTTACCAGCTTTGAATGACTGTTGGATAACTGTGCTGTTTGTTGGCTCAGCTCTTGAAAAAAGAAAGGATTGCGTGTGGTCAAAAATTGACAACTTCCAGTTTTGCTTGGTGGGGGGGAGGGGGGGGGAGTTCATTTCTATGCGCTCTGTGTTTTACGCCAATTTCTATGCAAGCTTGTATGTCTTGTCTGTCTGTTGTCATCGTGCTCAGACATATGTTGCAAGTTTCTGGTCTGTTCAAAAAGTTTTTTTATTGATGCTTGAATGTGAGACAGAGCTGTTTGTCTTGAATATTGCTCTATGAAGTCCTTGCTGGTGTTAGGAAGAAAAATTACTCATGAAATTCACATTTAGTAAGGAGATAATCTAGGGGTTTTTTCTCACAAGTTTTTTTAGTCATACTTTTTTGTCGGGATTTGTTGTGATCAGAGCAGTTGAGGGTCTGTGGCTGTTGTTTTGTTGATGAACATTTACACTTAAGATGACACTTTATATTTCTATAGAAGACTCCTTAGTTTTTTGTAATCCCATAATACAACTGGCATCAACAGAGATACTGAAAGACTTTGTAAAACGGTGACATTTTTGTCTATATATTTAGGAATGGGTTTCTCAATTGTGTGTGTATTCTCAAGAACTACCTTTTGCATCACAGTGACTTTTCTCTTCAAACCCAGTCAATCTCACGGTTTGATCAACACTAATATTTTCTCTTTAGTTTTCCCCAAGATGCACCGGGTTTCCTACTTTGAGCAAATGTCTTTGACACGACTGATAAATTCCCTTGTACTTTAAATTTTATGGCAGACTAGCTGACAGTTTCATTGGCATTGGCATCGCTCTACCAAGTTCAGTATGACTCACCTCTTTTATTGATGAAAACTGTCACATTGATTATGTAGTTCTCCCATCCCTGATCTTAACTTTTGCTGAAGTTGATTTGAAGGGAAATGAGGAGATTTCTGCTGGTAGAAGTACTTAATGCCTGTATTAGGAGTCTATGGTATATCCATACTGTAGAAAGAAAGAAAACTTGCCGTGGGACTAGTAGTCAAATGGAAAAATATTTCTAGGTCAATGACTTCAATAATCCTTATTCTGTTTTCATACTTTTTGTCGTACAAACAGCTGTGATATGATAGTTTTGGAAGAGAGACAAGAGGATATATAATTCATATTATTATAATGAGACTGTAATGACACACTAAGAATATGCATCCTCTTTTGGTACTTATTGTGTTGTGGGATGGCACTAATACAGCTACTTTTATGCAGGTGGTTGGCTAGGTCCTACTTCTTTTCTCTACCTCTGACAGTCTGTCTGTTTTAGTTTCTTCACCCCTGTCTGAATGGCCATTATTGTGTAGATGTGCTTCTTTTTACTCAAACAAACAAATGAATGCAGTTGAGTAGGATAATTCATCTGGGTATTTATTTATTCTTGCGATTTTTTGACACTCTGCGCCCCTCTCTGGATAATTGCTATTTTTCCTTGTACTATGCGGTAGAAGTAGGCCATGCAAGACATGGCTGGAATAACAATTGTGTATTTACAGTATTTCTCTGCAAAGAGATTTCTTTAATATGAGTTTTAGTCGAGGGGGAATAGGTTGCTGTTTTAAAAAAGTGGCTACCAATTTGTCTATCGTGTTGGAGCTTGAAGACTGAAATCGGCTTGAAGTTAATTTGTTCTTTGTGGAAGGTTGTATTTGTCATGGTTCAAGGCTAAGTAGTTTCTTACAGAAGGATACATGTTTTCTTTATATGGGCATTACTTACATCTTACAAATCAAAATAGAAGTAATAAAGAACTGTATGTGCCTGTACACGTATTGTTTTACTTGTTATATCATGGATTTATGATATATCTGCTCTCTATTTGCCTCAATGTAAGGTTTTATGATTATTGACATATATATAACAAAATGTTTGATATAATTAAATAATTGTGTACTGGAGTTCACGGTGTTTGTTAGTATTGAGGAGAAGAATATTGATGCTCTAACTTTTTTGGGGTTTGTTTGGTTTTTAAAAAAATGTTGGTATGGGGAGTTTTTATTGTTGGGTGTCAGCAGAAGTATGTTGCATGCTCAATGCAATGTGAGGAATATTATACTGTTATAACGAGAGGGAGGGGACCGAAGCAAAATGTCAGTTATAGCAGGATTCTCGCTATGAGGGATCCAGTAATAAATTCAAGGGAAACTGTTAAGTATGCCTAATCTATGAGTTTGGTTTTCTGTTTTTCCTTTTGCTATCTCCCCTGATGATGATTTTGTTTCAACATGACCTCTAGGTCTTACTTGATCAAAAATCGAATCAGGTTTGTTTCTCTAGCACTAGATCTAGCGATGTGGACTGACAGCTCGGCGTTGGCGATCAGAAAGAAAGGGCTCTGGGCTAACCACAGAATTCTACACTTAGAATTCTGTGGGGCTAACTCGCCCGCTGTGTTTTCCCCCCACCCCACCCCCACCCTTTGGTGCATTATGTCTGCTTGCGCATGTCACACATTCGCTCCATCCATCACATTGCTGTGACCTCTCCATCCCCGCATCGGAGAAGTGAGAGGCATGGCAGGCCTTGGATATTCTAAACTGGCCTATCACGCGATGCATTCTGCTTGTCTGTGCATGCCACACACTCCCTACTCAGTTGCTCCGGCCTTCATTGTTGACGCACATGGGCTCTCCTATTCTTTGTTTCACAAGATCAGCAACAAGTTTCTCAACTGGCGAGGTCTTGCATTATGTATAATTGGCCTATGCCATGTGCACAGTAGCAGCAATATTCCGCTATAACCGACTCGCAAGTGTGTCTGATAGCGCTATAGCAGTATTTTGTTTACAAAGGTAAAGAGGAGAAAAAAACGAGGTTTTAGAATAGTGTCTTTATAACAGACTTCTAATTTTTTCCGGACTCATTATAAGTGGACTCCACTGTATGTGGTAAGAGCTTTGGTTTCACAATGGAAAAGAGACCTAATTTCGGAAAAATGGGAGCATTTTGGAGAGATATTTTTTGTCTGTCGGTCACTGGGCTCAGGTGTGTTCACTATGCCAATCTCTTTTACTAGTGCCCAAGGGAGTTTAATAACTTAACAGTGTACTAAGTTTGTGGGTGTAGAATTGTGCTCCGCTTGTAGAATCAGGCATGACAAATATAAATTAACTTTGTAAAGTGACTGTTTCCTTGCAAGTATATATAATTTATGATGTACAAATCTGTGAAAAAAAGAATGCAATGACTGGGGAATGGAATCAGTGGCCGGCTAGGCCGTGTGTGGCTTTCAGTGTTGTGATTGAAATGAATGATTTATATGTATCTATTTGTATTTTTAAGTGTAAATATTTACAAATTGATTTCAGTACTTTATAAGCAGAGCATGATATTGTAAATTAGTATGTAAAATGTGTACAGTTTGATATATTTATGATGATAAGGAGTAATGCTTTGGCAGTATTTGCGTTAGCGATGTTGTAAGAAATGTTTTCACAGTTCGAAATGCCAATTATCATTAGGTTCTCTGGATGCAAAGAGAGTGCTTCAAGTGCCTGTCGTCAGAACATTGTTGATTTTTTTCTGCTTGATTTTGTAAAAAGTGCTTTGCTTGTTTGGTTTGTTTCATTAAGGAGAGATGCCTTTGGTTTGGTTGTTTGTTTTTTTAATGAATGCCTTGCAGGTGTATACAGCAAGTGTTTAAGTTTAAAGCATATAGGAGAGAGTGATGAGACCTGTGAGTTTTTGTGTCTGTTGTGTCGGGCACAATACGATTATTGAAGGTTCGGAAGGTCGTTAAATAAGAATTTGTTTTGTACAGTGGGAACAGAACGTGGTACAGAGTGCTCTAGAAAACAAAATCGCTGGCAACAGTTACGGCTTATTGGGGATATGTCCCAGCATGACAGTTGTGGATTGCACAAGGAATTCCTGTATAATATATTACAGGTATTTTACAGTATCAGACAGTTTACGGTAACTTCTAGTTTGCATGACTTGCAGAAACTGGGAAGAATGAAAATTTCCCTTGAATTTCAGTTTCTGTCATGATTCCAGTTAGACGAGAGGGAACCTGGACTGGTCTATTTGGTTTAGGATTATTCAGCTCTCTTCTGAGTTTCTCCACAGTGCCTGTCCACTTTTCTTGCACACTTCCAAAGCTGTTTAAGCTTAATCGTCGTAATGGATAACTTTTTTAGATGGGATTGTTTTGGAGATTTGTATTTAGATATATGTGTGTCATTTCAGTGAAATCAGGCTGTCGTCAAAATAATGAAGTTGAAGAAAATTTCTTCTTTGCTCAGCACTTTTTATGTCCATTAAGAAACACTTTTTGTTTGGATTTTACTGGAAAACGTTCATAAATGAAGGGCACAAAACATATCAATTTACAGTTTCCAAGGATACTCTAGCTTAGAGTTTACAAGACTTTGGAGGCCTTTTTCTCGCTGATTTTACCTCTGAAACCAGTTGCAAATATCTTGACTTGTATTCAAGACAGATGTCTAATTTTTAATCTAAAGCAAAACAAGTCAATAAGCTTTAAGATGATAGTGATACCAGTTTCTCCATATGCCACAAAATTTAAAAGTGCCTGATTCCACCACGCCATGACACATGTGATTGTTTTTCTAAAAGTTTCATTTTTAAGTGCAGTTTTTGTATTAAGATTCACTTCTAGATACGGCTGTTTAGGAATAGATACATTTTTAGGATTGATTGATATCCAAAAGACATTTATATATTTTACTTGCGGCGCAACATGTCAGTGTTTTTGAGAGAGTGGAGCCACTCAGAGAGGATGTGAAAACTTTAACGTGTTTTACAGAATTCTGGCATGTAGGCTAACATGTTGTAGAATGTACATACACTGAACTTATTTATATATGCCGTGTGTCTGTTTTTTTGCAAAGCTTGTAACTGTTCTGTAACCTCTGTGGAATGTGACTTATGTGAGTTGTGAAAGGCTGTGGGCTTGTGGCTTTGTGAGTCCTGACAGTCCTTCCCTGGCTTACTAATGACATGACTTGTGAATATTGTCACATTGTTTCAATACCAAATAACAGTTTGAAATATCACAAAAATAAAGCTTGTGGTATCTACAAAACTTGCTATGATGAGTGGGAGAATAGAATATTATCTGCTAAAGCCATGGTACAACTGAGGGGCTGGGATGCAAAACCCGCTTCATCCATTTTAGCACTTTTGAGAAAATCAGCTTTTTTTAATGCTTCTATACGCACAAACATGCGTAGAAACATTTTTTGGTGGCTTTTATGAAGTATGTGTTGGGTTTTGCGCGAAAACACTTTGTGCATCTGATAGCTGGTA